GGCATCCGCAGAATGTTCTTGGAAGAAAGGACGAGACACTCGCTTGAGAATGAAGCGCAGCCGCACTAAATACACCCTTAATGGAAGGCAAGAAACACACTACACAAGAACCACTGACCGCACACACTGTCCCATTTGGCTCTTGGTACTGTAATGTCCTCGGTACATAAAAAGATCCCCAAACAGCAAACCACATTAAATGAGATGGAAAAGGATACTTGTGTAATGCAGTGTATATTTTTACTGCTAATCCAAGAATTCCATTAGTGTTCTAATTAAATTATTATACCATTTCTTGTGGTAAGATTATATCAATATCATAAATATAATTTTGTATGTATGTATATATGTATGTGTGTGTGTATGTTTTTTTTATTTAAATTCGAAACAATTAAGGTATTAACTATTGCGATTATGGAGAAGTTAATATTAGATATTTAAAAATGATTTATTATAATAATAATAAATACATATACTACCGGCTAGACCAGAAGCTTGGAATAATTAAGATTTTTTTTCAAAATATTTTTAAAATAAGTTTCTTAAACTCACCAAGGCTGCCATTTATTTGATCACAAATACAGTAAAACAGTAATATTGTGAAATATTATTGCAGTATCAAATAACAATTTTCTATTTGAATATATTTTGAAATGTAATTTATTCCTGTGATGCAAAGCTGAATTTTTAGCAGTCATTACTCCAGCTGTCACATGATCTTTCAGAAATTATTCTAATATGCTGATCAAGGAACATGTCTTATAATTATCAATGTCGAAAAATGGTTATACTGCTTCATATTTGTTATTAACTTATGTAATGTATATGTTTACTGCTAATCCAAGAATCCCATTAATGTTTTGATGCAATTATCGTACCATTTCTTGAATTAATTCATGAACGTCTGAATATGATTTTATAAGCCATTTTTCTATCCACAGGGACTGTTTGGAGGCTAATGAAAAAAAGACATGGTGGTGTAGCTCGAAGGTCTGGGAGGAGAACTGGACTCTGGTGGCTCGAAATCCTCTTGGAACAGTCCAGCTTACTGACTCGGCCCAACTCACTGACCGCGGTACTGCATTTTCAATACAACTTCCGTTTCAATGCATATACTGTATCTACATTATAAATAGAGTCAGAGCGAGTGTCTTAATATTCTCATGACTGAGAACTCTTGTGATGTTTTTGTCTCTCTTCCAGTACATCTGTTGGCTCCAGCGAATGTGACCGCGGTTGAAGTCAAGGCGTGGAGCGCCACACTGCTGTGGAGCTGGTCTGTGGCGGCGTATAAAAAGCTGGAGATGGTCTGCCAGCTGCGGCTCTTCACCCATGAACTTTCCAGCACAGTAAGTTCACTGCTCAACTTTCAGCTCCCAGAACCCTGTTTGTTTTTTGTGTGGTCTTGGAGTTAAAGGGATAGTTCACCCGAAAATGAAACTTCTGACATCATTTACTGACATTTACTCAAGAACAAAAATCAACAGAAAACAGCTTTTATGTCAAGGTCTAGAGAGAATTAAGTGATCGTGACAAATCAAGACAGAAGAATGCATGATTTTTGTTCTCAGAAAACTCTAGATCAACATAAGTGCCCAAAGTAATACAGTAGCTTTGTAAATGTTATTAATTCACTGAAAATCTTTCCCTCTGTCCCAGGTTGTGCACATGCATTTGAATACTGACTTAAATTTCTGTTTGTTCTTTACATAAACCTATTTTATGGCTTCAGAAAATGAAGCACAAATCTAGAAAAACTAAAACGGAAAATAGAATTTGGTGAAAAATTAATTACAGAATATGAGAAAAAAATTAAATGTATTTTATTAGGGCCCTAAAGGTGTCATTTTTATTAAACTTTTTATAAATTGTTGCTCAAATCTATAGGTTTCATGATTTAAATAAATTAGGCATGCTTTTTGATTGCTCAAATTTATTTTAACCATCAAAGTGGAGTCCATAAAAAAAACATAAACTTTTTTTTTTTAATAAACAAAAAAACGGAATTTGGAAAAAATTTAAAATGAATTTGGGAAAAAATAAAACTGATTTAATAGGGCCCAACATTATTCATGCTTGCTCTTTTTCAATATTTTTCAAATTTCATTACTGAATTTTTTTCTTAAGTTTCTTAAGTATTTTCCTAAGTATAAATGTTTATCAAATATCAAATTGTAAAAGATTTTAGTAATTTAAATTTATTTATTTGTTTGTTTATGTTTGTTTGTGAATTAATATTGTTACATTTTTGTATACAATTAATTTAATTGTTACTGTTTGCCATGCCATTGCTTATATGGCATTAAAAGATAGATAGATAGACTTATTCAAATTTTCTGACTGTACAGGTTTGGAATAATATGAGAGATGAATAAATTATTACAATAATTTTGGGTACCTTGTCCTTTAACTGCAAAAAATATTTTCCCCATTCTTTTTTTTTTTTTTTTGATGCACATTTCAAACTGTTCCTCAAGCCATCTTGGCAATGATGTTTTGTAATTCATTGCATTCATCAAAAAACATTTGAACCCATCAAAAACGTCATATAACCTACTGAATGTAGGAAAACTATTATGTAATATATGCTTACTGATTTCTAAGGTGATCAGCTGATATTTCTCTCTCTCTCTGTGTCTGTAGCGTAACTACGGTGGTCCAGGTTCAGCTGTTGCTTATGTGAATAACATGGTCATGCATTTACTAGAAAAGTTAATCCAACGACTTAATCTAACTATGATTTTCTGATATAAATTACAATTTAAAATACAAAAAAATACAGAACTCCAGGTTTGGTGTGCTTATTTGTAGGGCTGCATAATTTGGCAAAAAAGTATATATGTAATTATATAACAACATAATGACAACAATAATAATAATAATAATACTATATAATATAAAAGAGCCTGTCCCTTTCTTTTGATATATTTTATAGTACTATTCATGTGGATGAACAAAAGCAATGAGGACACAATGAATAAAACAAACACTTCCTTTATATCCGCATAATGGTTCGTAAAGAGGAGCATTTGCTCAACTGCAGACAGTATTATTATTAAACAAAACAAGAAAATATGAACATTTAGGTATTTATAGCTTAGGAGCAGAGGACATTTAATTTTAGAGAGCATTTTATTTTACTCAAATAATTAATAAGTAACCTGAGCATGCAATGTTTATTTTGTCAATTTATAAGAGTGCACGCACATATTTTGTGGATTTAAAAACCACAAAACTCTGATTTTGATTTCATGATGTGAAATGACATAAACCACTTCTGTTGATTTTTGCATAGACTCACAGTCTAGAATTTGTTTTTGATGGTTTGTATGTGAATCTGTTCCATGTGTCTCTCTCTTTCGTTGGATCTTCTGTAGTTCCTTCTCAGTCGGTTAGTGAGCTGTCACCCAATCAGATTGGCTCTGATGTGCTGCTGTCTTGGAGAGCCACCGAGATGAAACAGCAGAGAGGCTTCATACGTGGATACACCATCTACCTGGCAAATGCTGCACATCTGGATCTCATTGGTAAGCACTTTCACACATAACAGAAATATGTGTGTCTGTATATATATATATATATATATATATAAAAGCAAATAATTGTAGTTATGTAAATCACAGTTTATATATTTAAATAATAGTCTTGTGTGGTTGTGTTTCTAGCTAATATCACTGATCCTGAAGTGCAGTCGTACAGGGTGAAAGGTTTGTCTCTGAGCTCGTATAAGTTCGTAGTGAAGGCCTACACCTCAGCTGGGGAGGACGCGGGGGCCACTGTGTCCATTAAAATGGAGATGGACAGTAAGACATTGTGAAATTCCTTCAGATATTCTGCCATTGACTATAGCCTTATATTTGATATTACTGTTACTTTGTATGTGGATTTTTATTTTATTTTTTACTTTAAATAGAACAACTAGTGACTTTGTCTTTTCAGATTGCTTTGATATTGCAGATAACAAATTAGATTATGTAGGTAGTTCACCTAAACTTCTCTTTTCTCTGTTCATCCAACAGCTGACATGCTGTTTGTTGGCATTCTCGTGCCGTTAGGAATCATGTTCTGCTGTCTCATCCTTGTCAGCATCTGCTGCTACAAGAAGAGAGAGTGGTAGGACTTTATTAATGTACTTTAATAGCATTTCCATCAAGTTAAATAATTAAAAAAAAAACACAAAATCAATGAAACTTAAATGGCTCACAGTATGACCTGCAACATCTGACAGTGTTCTTTCTGTCTTACTGATCAGCAGTTAGAGTTATTTTAGTCATATATGCTAATGTATTAATTATTACAATTTGAATTTTTTCTTTTTATATTGTCTATTTTAATTTGAAAGTTTTAGTCATTTTGTTGCAAGTTTTTTACATTTGTCTATCAGTTTTTATTTCAGTTTTAGTACTTCAGTTTTTAAAATTTGAAATATTGCCTTGGCAACTAACTGAAATAAAATAAGTTTACATTTTTCTCTTTTGCTGCTATAAGATGAGACATTGTTAGGACTTTATTAATGTGCTTTAACAGCATTTCCATTGTTAAATAATTAAAAAATCCACTAAATCAAGTCATTTTGACCTAAATGGTGTGTTCTCACGTCAGTGTTATCTTAGTATCATTAACTTACTAATGTAGTGTTTATTAAAATTTGACTTAGTTTTTATTTTTGTATTTTGCATTTTCAATTTTATTTTAAAGTTTTTTTGTTGTTTTTGACTTTTTTTAATGTCTATTTAATTTTTATTAGTGGTGTCAATCAATTAAAAGAAAATGAAATAGTGATTAATCCCACCTAACATTAAAGTTTTTAATTATACTTTTATATTGCAATAATTTCACATTCAATCTTCAATTCAAATGTAGAAACAACATAAAGACAGTATATTTTTAATATTTGTTTAATGGCATCTTTTTTATGACTGAAGGTGAGTATCACTGATACCAATACTACTGATGTCTCTAGGAAATTGTTTTTTTCCCCTAATATTTTACCATTGACTAGCCATTCAACATTACAGTATAAATGAGAGCTATCAATTTGAACATTTATCAGACTTTAAAAAATAACTTCTAATTTAAGTGCATAACAATCTTCACATAAAACTTTAAGACCTGCCGTTGCTGAACATGACGTGGATCTGACACGCATCGGATTACCTTTTCTGGCTCACTTCAGGTCTTAAAGTCTCTACTAATGAGCAGACGATTTGAATGGGGTGTGTTAGATGGAGGAAGACAGTGCTGCTTTTCAGAGACATGTTCTTAAATGTGACTCGTATATGACAAATACTTACATGCAAATTTTAAGGCAGCTTTAATCGCCTTTTTGGTAACTTCATGACTTAACTGATGACATAACTACGACATTGCATGCTTGTAGTTTCTTTCGTGCTTTAATATGAAATGATATAGGCTACAGTGTGCGCCGCCACATTTGTGCGTGCAATTGAAGAGCATGTGTTACGAGCACAGTATAGTTTTTTTAACTGCCATACAGCCTGACAACATCTCATCTGTCCGCAGTTCTACTGAAGCTCCTCATCACCTGTACCTTTTAATTTTGCGCTGGTTTGACTAGTGCCTGGCGCTGAGGTGAATTTGGAGCGCGTGTCTGAAAAAAATGTATCACCTGCGTAATGCATTAATTTTCACAGCACTAGTTTTTTATCAAATTTTTTTTCAGTTTTCGTTTTAGTACTTCAAAAACTACTACTTTTAAAATGAGAAGTGTTGCCTTGGCAACTAACTGAAATGAAATAAGTTTTTTTTTCTCTACAGTACTTGTGCTACAACAGACTGTATTCTTTCAGTCTTACTGATCCACATAAATCTGTTTTATTTTTAGTATCATTAATATACTGATATAGTGTTTTCATATTTTGAATGACTATTTTCCACTTTTATTTAAATTGTACTAATTTAGATTTTTTTTAATTAACTTTAGTCTGTTTTTATTTCAGTTTTAGTTTTAATCATTTTAGTACTTCAACTTAAACTGAAAGAAAATTAGGTTTAAATAAAAACGGAAATAAATTTATATTTTATTTAAAGGGGTGGTTGACTGTTTTTTTTTTCTAGGCTTGATTGTGTTTATGGGGTGCAGTCTAACATGTGTTAATGCTTCGTTTGTTAAAAAACGCATTATTTTTCACATAATTTACCTATATTCCACACCGCTCTGTCCCTTCTCCTCTGAACGCGCTGATCATTTCCTGCTTTTATGAAGCCCCTGCCTCAAAAATACACGAATTTGTTAGCTAGCCCAGTGTGTTGTGATTGGCTAAACCGCTAAACCTCTAGCCCGAGTCTAAACGTCCCGCCCCTAAGATCAGCGGCATGTGCTCCAGTTGTATTGTAAACAACGGCGTCGTTAATATCGCTTATCAGTTTGAGCTCGATTGAGAAGCAGAGGATATTAGTGAAGAAGATCGTGCAGAACCTGTGCAAGCACTGCTTTTAATGGTAGGCCTAAGATTTTAGTTTTTTGTTGTCTCATACTTTTAGATACGCTGTTATTTGTAAATGCTACTGCTTCTGTTA